CAAGAGTATTAAAAGAACTGGCAGATGTGATTTCAGAACCACTGGCAGTCATCTTTGAGAATTCCTGGAGAACAGGCGAAGTCCCGGCAGACTGGAGGAGGGCAAATGTTGTCCCTATTTTCAAAAAGGGGAAAAGAGAGAACCCAAATAATTACCGCCCAGTCAGTCTGACATCAATACCAGGGAAGATTCTGGAGCAGATCATTAAGCAAACAGTCTGTGAGCACCTAGAAAGGAATGCTGTGATCACCAATAGTCAGCATGGATTTCTGAAAAATAAGTCATGTCAGACTAACCTGATCTCGTTTTTTGACAGAATTACAAGCCTGGTAGATGAAGGGAACGCAGTGGATGTAGTCTACCTTGATTTCAGCAAGGCATTTGACAAGGTGCCCCATGATATTCTTGTAAAGAAGCTGGTAAAATGCGGTCTTGACTATGCTACCACTCAGTGGATTTGTAACTGGCTGACTGACCGAACCCAAAGGGTGCTCATCAATGGTTCCTCTTCATCCTGGAGAAGAGTGACTAGTGGGGTGCCACAGGGTTCTGTCTTGGGCCCGGTCTTATTCAACATCTTTATCAACGACTTGGATGATGGACTCAAGGGCATCCTGATCAAATTTGCAGATGACACCAAACTGGGAGGGGTGGCTAACACCCCAGAGGACAGGATCACACTTCAAAACGACCTTGACAGATTAGAGAACTGGGCCAAAACAAACAAGATGAATTTTAACAGGGAGAAATGTAAAGTATTGCACTTGGGCAAAAAAAATGAGAGGCACAAATACAAGATGGGTGACACCTGGCTTGAGAGCAGTACATGTGAAAAGGATCTAGGAGTCTTGGTTGACCACAAACTTGACATGAGCCAACAGTGTGACGCGGCAGCTAAAAAAGCCAATGCAATTCTGGGCCTCATCAATAGGAGTATAGCATCTAGATCAAGGGAAGTAATAGTGCCACTGTATTCTGCTCTGGTCAGACCTCACCTGGAGTACTGTGTCCAGTTCTGGGCACCACAGTTCAAGAAGGACACTGACAAACTGGAACGTGTCCAGAGGAGGGCAACCAAAATGGTCAAAGGCCTGGAAATGATGCCTTATGAGGAACGGCTAAGGGAGCTGGGCATGTTTAGCCTGGAGAAGAGGAGGTTAAGGGGTGATATGATAGCCATGTTCAAATATATAAAAGGATGTCACATAGAGGAGGGAGAAAGGCTGTTTTCTGCTGCTCCAGAGAAGCGGACACGGAGCAATGGATCCAAACTACAAGAAAGAAGATTCCACCTAAACATTAGGAAGAACTTCCTGACAGTAAGAGCTGTTCGACAGTGGAATTTGCTGCCAAGGAGTGTGGTGGAGTCTCCTTCTTTGGAGGTCTTTAAGCAGAGGCTTGACAACCATATGTCAGGAGTGCTCTGATGGTGTTTCCTGCTTGGCAGGGGGTTGGACTCGATGGCCCTTGTGGTCTCTTCCAACTCTATGATTCTATGATTCTATGAAAGCCTCATTAAAAGCTTCTCAGTACCAGTTGGTTCCAAATTAAGCAAAGGAGATTTTGCCCATCGATAGGCAAAAAGTACAAGGTGGCCAATGTTGCATGGGGTAGTACTGTTCAAGAAACACAAACTAAAACCCTCCTTGCTCTCCTGGAATTAGCCACATGGAGCCTGGCTAAAATCAATTATCAATATGTCATTTCAATGATTATATTAGTGAATAATGAATGCATTGCACAAGAAGCACAATTTGTGGAGTGTGTTTTTGTGTCTACATTCAAGTCTGTGGATTTCTCTGCTTAAACCATGAAACATCAGTGCTGAGCCTGAAGGACTGCATCACACAGCGATAGTGAGACTATTGTGTGGCAGTCACGAAACCACAAATAGGCATTAGCAATGTTTGCAAGATGGCATGATGACACTCTAGGCCAAGAATGTCAAAGCAGCTGGCCATTTTGGAGCATTTGCATTTGTGATAAGAGGGAGGCATCTCTGGTAACTCAACACTAGAGTGGAAAAGCTGATCAATATTTAGACAAACAATGACAATAATCTTCTGAAGGGGGGTCACGTAAAAATGGTTATTTAGTTCTGGCAATTAGTTTGAGTGCCAGTCAGATGATTCAGCTGGGAAAACCTGGACTGTGACCTTTCTGGGGCTTTAAAGTGTGATGGCGCTGTCATTTTTTATGGAAAATCCATGCATAATGAATGAGTGCAAATGCTAACCTTTTAATAAGTAAATGGTTGAAGAAGGCATGTTTTGAAAACGGCCAAAAATGGTCCATATTAAGTATGCATGACTGGTGCTTGGAAGAAAAAATGATAGAAGTTCCTCCAGCCATCATCTGTCCAGTTCAAAATGATAAGAGGTCTATGTATATGCAGGAAAGGCATTTATATTGACATGTTGGTCAGTGTTTATACAAAAGTTCATTGCAGTGCTTATCCAGACACCCTTGACCTGGCTGCATGCACTATATGATGCACATGAAGACACACCTTCCCATCTTGGGGCACCAGTTGTTTGAGACTGGAGACAAACAGTTCATGGCATGACATTGCAGATTTTTGGAATGGAGGTGATTCAGAAATGACCCCCCACAGCTTGGAAATTAAGGGCATGAACCCAAATCACACTGAATTGCAGTTCAGCTCATGAATAATTTTGGCTTGTCCAAAATTATTGAGCTGTCCTCACCAAGGTCCTTTCTCCCTCTCATGGGTTGACCTTTTTGCGATCAAAGCAGCAGCAACAAAGGGCAGCATAGGAGAAGGTTGATTAAATCTGAAAGCCTTATACAGTGGTACCTCGGGTTACATACGCTTCAGGTTACAGACTCCGCTAACCCAGAAATAGTACCTCGGGTTAAGAACTTTGCTTCAGGATGAGAACAGAAATTGTGCGGCAGCGGTGTGGCAGCAATGGGAGGCCCCATTAGCTAAAGTGGTGCTTCAGGTTAAGAACAGTTTCAGGTTAAGAACGGACCTCTGGAATGAATTAAGTACTTAACCAGAGGTACCACTGTAGTTCAGTCAGTGGCTCAAGCATAATAGGAAATGTAAGATGCCAGGACTACTGGGACCTTGAACATGGAGACCTCGATAAACTACCATTCCCAGGCATCTTCAAGTTGAACATCTCTTGTTTGAGGCCCAAGGAGTAGTCATCTTTTTCACACAGGTCTCGCCTGTCTATGAGGTGGACTGAAGCAGTCACCTCAGGCAGAGGTATCCCATGGGGCATCACCAAGGTTCTGCAGCAGCAGCAGCTTCAAGAAAGATCTTGCAAAGCTCCAAAGAGTGTCATGTGACCACTTGAGATCTCGCCAGAAGACGATAATGATGTGAGACCCCAGTAAGCAAGGTTTCGGCAGCAGTGGTGGGAAAGCAGAACTTTCCTATTTCACCTCAGGTGGTGAAATGGGATTGGCCAACCCTGCTTTCACACCCTTAGCACATCTGCCATAAAGGTACCTTTGGTAAACAGGAAGGTGACAGAATGACTGTGACAGGGGGACTGGCTATAGGGAAAGTTGGGGGCAGTAGGGGCTGACAGGGCCTAAAATTGCCTGATGAAGTTTGGAAAGAATGAAAACACAGTCCAAATCAAGAAGGGGTGAAGGGCTGTAATTCAAGGACATTGGTGGTAAACTTATTACCCCAAATAATTAAGGCATGTGCTTAATGCTCTGTTGATTGACTTGTATAAGATCTGGAACAAAGCACCACCTTTCAGAAATTCTCCCCAGATGTCAATTCTGCCTTTGAATGTCCGGAAAATTCTGGACACATGGCAGCCCTATTTTAGGTATGAAAAAATCAATAGACAGCTAAGTTAATTCCAAATGCACAAGTTAATTACATTAAAACTATTCATCAAAAATTCTCTCCGTTCCATTTAGCTTTTATATATTCTTCTTGTGAGATGATAGATGATAGATAGATAGTAATGATATGACATGTTAAAACCTCAGTCATGCAAACTGTATGACTGAGGTAAGATGCCCATTAGTTTAAGTCAAGATAATAGTGCTACTATGAGTGCTTTGCAAAGTATTACAAAAAGGCTAATCTGTGAATTATTATATTAGAGCTATTCCTTCAAAAGCCTGTTGAAAAGAAGGTGGATACACAGAGTATTTGTGTGTGGAAATGGATGGAAGCAGGTATATGAATTTTGGGGAGCCATGAATGTACCTGGACATGAGAGTAACACCTACACTTTTAAAAATGTGTCCCAGAAATGCCTGTCTTTCCTAACAGTAGAAACCAGGGAAGAACTGTAGCTTAGTGGTAGAGCATCTGCTTCCTATGCAAAAAGTCCCAGGTTCAATTCCTGGTGTCCTCAGAGTACAGCTGGGAACAATTCCTTCTCCACCCCTGGAGAAAGGCCCTGTCAGCCACTATAGGTGGTACCTCTGGTTATGTACTTAATTCGTTCCGGAGGTCCGTTCTTAACCTGAAACCATTCTTAACCTGAGGTACCACTTTAGCTAATGGGGCCTCCCGCTGCCGGCACACGATTTCTGTTCTCATCCTGAGGTAAAGTTCTTAACCCGAGGTACTGCTTCCGGGTTAGCGGAGTCTGTAACCCGAAGTGTTTGTAACCCGAGGCAACACTATACCAAGCTATATGGACTCAGTATAGTCTGATTCAGTATAATGCAGCTTCCTATGTACAGTATTTCAACATTTTAAATATGTAGTCACTGGGACTAAATTGCAAAAATGGTGTCTGAAAGGAAAACCTTCATGTCTATCAAGTGGCTGTTCTCTTAATACTGGGAAGCAAGATACTGGAGCAGCTTCTAGGAGGCAAGGGGGGCTCTTTCTCTCCTGCTCAAGCACCCGAAGGGAGGATAAAGCGCTGAAATTGAGGGCAAAGGTTGGGGAAAGGGCTTCCCTTTCCCCACTGCACATGCTCACTGCGGCTTCCCGGAGAGCTTGCACATTTTTACATGACAAGGGGGAAACAGGTGCACAGCTCCAGCGTAGCTGTGCAGCTACTTTGAGGTGGCAGCTCCACCTCCTTCGCCTTATTTACAGAGCAACCATATGCTAGATCTAAAAGGAGCAACCATTCAAAAAATGACCCTGCTGCTGGAGGGGAGTTGGGAGAGCAGCGGCTGATGCTAACAGGAGCAATGTGGCAGCTGCTGTGCATAAAAGTGATGGGGCCGAGGGGCTGCTGGGCTCACCATGAAGTCGAGCGGGGGTGCTGCATCCGACCTGGAGGAACTGGAGAGCGGCAGCAGCGAGAGCAGCTCCGGAAAATCCTTGACTTCCACCGGAGCCCAAGGGAAGCGCAAGCGGAAGAGCCCTCGGCTGAGCGGGCTGAGCAAGCAGCGGCAAGCTGCCAATGCCCGGGAGAGGGACCGAACCCACAGCGTGAACACAGCCTTCAGCACCCTCCGCACCCTCATCCCAACCGAGCCCGCAGACCGCAAGCTGTCCAAGATAGAGACCTTGCGCCTGGCCTCCAGCTACATCTCCCACCTGGCTAACATGCTGCTCCTACAGCAGCAGCAGCAGCAGCCACCGCAACAGAGCGAGAGCTTGGGGGAGGAACAGCTGCCTTCGAGGCAGCCCTGCTTGCAATACCAGCCTCTCCTGCAGGGCGGCGGCACAGCAACGGCACCAAGACCAATCTGTACCTTCTGCCTGAGCAACCAGAGGAAGCTGGTAAGGCTGGCATCTAGCACTCAGTAACACCCCCTACCCCCACCCCACACACATATACACCTCAAGCTGTGGCCTGCACGGATTGGGGTTGTTTTCAGCAGAGGTGTAGCAAGGGAGAATTTTGCAGCAAGGTGAGCCTCTGCTCTGGTCATCGGCTTTAAAGCCTGTGCCTGAACTGGCATCAAATTGAGGAACGTATCAGAAAGGTGAACTAGAGCTTTCGTTTCCTCAGTGCGTCCAGTTGGGGAGCCAAAATATGCACAGAAGAGACAATCCTTGTCTGAAACTGTTAGGGCACCGTGTGTGTGCGCACGCGCTCCTTCTTTTTAAAGCATGTTCCTTACAAAAACTCACTCCCTTCATGTGAGCATTGCTTGAATAAATGTGCAAAAGCTGCAGTTTGCTTTGTGTTGTAGCTGGGAAAAATAATTTGCATTTCCCTCTTATTTTGGGGATTTGCATCATCACCTGCCAAGTGTAACATCCTGTTTACGTTTGGGGCCTTTGTGTGTTTTCCTTTTATTTTGTTCCATACTGTATGAAGATTTTTCTCTTTCTCTTCCTCAATAGAATATTTTTTTTTAAAAAAAGAATATTTCCCCCTTTTCTTTTAGCTTCATTGTGCCTGGTCTATTTTATAGCTTGCACTGAAAAGAATTTATATACATAAATTTCATATTTCATAACTGAGACTGTCAGTGTTTGAAATGTTCAGGCGTTTAAACCCCAACCAACCGTGAAGTGCACAGGTGAAGCTTATCTCTGCTTTGGTGGCTAGGACCTTTTATATTAACAGGTAAAATTTGGGTGAGATGGCCACTGACAACTGAACTGAAATAAAACTTTAATGTATGGTTTATGTGCACTGCCTCGTTATAATGGATGCCTTTATTCTATTTGCAGCACAGAGAAAGGGAGAAACATTTGTCTCTTTAAAAGCATTGTGGACACTGATTCAGAAGAGAAGCTTGCACAAATACCGGACTGGTTATAGAACAGTTGTAGGTAACCTCTCTCTCTCTCTCTCTCTGCCACTTATAGCATAATGTTTACACTGAAATCATGCAATTACATAAAAAAGGGAAGGGGGGGGAGGACTAACCCTGATCTGCACTTTGTTTTCCATTGCCACAGGCTTATTCAAAGGGGATTTTTGCAGTTGAAACTGAACACGGTGGGGAAAGTTGCACCTGGCGTGGCAGCTATTTTCGTGCAAGAAATGCTAAACCTAAGCAGCCAAGCCCTGATACTGATGCCTCCTAGACCTATGTCACATGATGGAACTTGAGCTGTCAAGCACCAGGCGTCTCCTCTTAATGGGAGACTCTCATAATGCACCAGGCTCATAGCCTCTAGTTACCATTGGACGGCTAAGCCATGTCACACCGCCCCCTCTCTCTTTTTCAGTCAAAACCTCATTGGCCTCGGCTAGCAGATTCAAGGATTTCCCCTAAAATTGCGCAGTAAAGGATCGTACACCAATTACAGGAGAAGCACATACCCAAAGGCTAGAGCGGTTGGACCCATTTTGTTTCTTGATCAACACAGTGTGGTTCCTTTTGTCAGTCCGTGGGCCAGAAAAGAAGAAATTAATTGCATTTAGCATATTATGTTTTTATTCTAAAAAAAAAAGTAGTTGTGAGGAGGATCAGGACAGAACTGACATTTCCCCCCTCTGCTCTACCATCGTGGTGAAAATACACCACCATGATTACGCACTGCTTTTACTTTCAAAGTAAAACAAAACCCATTAAATGCTTATGTCCATTTAATGTACCATTTAGTTTTTCCCCACCCCAGACAGTCACAGTGGGAAAGGGCAGTAATTTCCTCTGTCCAGTCAAGATTTGCTCAAAATGAATCAAAATAACGTCCATCCTGTGTCCCTCAATCATAGTCAGCCCAGGGCCAGATTGCTTTTTGCTGTGTGTGTGAGACAATGTAGTGTAGTGACAAGTAAAAACCTGTTGCTTGCTTCTCCACCCTCACAAGGTAGCTTAAGCATGTCTATTTTATCGTCTCTCTACTGCAGATGCTGAGGGAAGCCGTCATGTAACTTTGTACCCATGGTACTGAAATGAGCAAAGCACCCCGATGTCAGCTTCAGAACAAACCCATCTTTGGCCATGTGAACGTAGCCACAGACTTGAACCACAGCTCTGCTGTCAAATCAGCTTAGCCAAATGGCTCTGGAGGGAGATGCAGCCAAACTGAGAGGAGGTTCTCCACTTAGGCCTGAAACTTGAGAAGGGCTGTCGAGTGACTCAGGCCAATTTTTGAAACAGTGTGGGATCTTTCTAAATTTGTTCATCATTGAAGTGTGGAGCAGGGAAAGTTCCCAAGGGCCCTCTAAATTTATCTGCTCTCCTTGGTTACTCGCAAGTTGTGCCTGTACATTATCACTGGTGCTACAGTATCTGACTGCTGGTCGTCATGTAAGCATGCAATCTTTATTTTGAATTAAGCTGAGCAAGTTTTGGGAGGGTTTTTTAAGCCACTTTTCCAAACACAGGCAGAATAATAAAGCAAAACAACATTAGTTCACAGCAGAGAGGTTTCTAAAATGGTCAGACAAAGCTTTCGTTAAGGAGACATATGCATGTGTTCAGGGTGGGAATAAGAGGTGTGTGCTTGCGCATGTGTGGAAACATTTTTGCACTGTGGTATGTCACCGTACCGTATGGCCTCATCTTTCATATCTAAAAGTAATTAATCCTACTCAGCTGGGGTGCTCGCTAGGTGACCTTGGGCCGGCCACTATTTCTCCGTTTAACTTACCTCACAGGGTTGTTGTGAGAAAAAACGGGGGATTGGAGGAGAACCCTGTATGTCACCCTGAGCATCTTGGAGGAAAGCTGGGTTATAAATGTAATAAACAAACAAATAAATACAAAAATTAGGAAAAAGAAATAAATTGGGGAAATCAGTCGAGATTAACAATGCTCCGATAATGATTCCTCAGCATTCCTAAATAACAATAATAATATGTATATATTAATCCCTGAGTTAAGCCACATGAAAGTAATGCTCTGTGGCATACATTTCACAATGTAGATGAATGTTTAATTCTCTTAGCCAGGCATCCCCAAACTTGGCTCTCCAGCTGTTTTGGGACTACAATTCCCATCATTGCTGGCCACTGGTCCTTCTAGCTAGGGATGATGGGAGTTGTAGCCCCAAAACAGCTGCAAGGTCGAGTTTAGGGATACCTGCTCTTAGCTATCACAAATCCTTCATCATAAATTTTGCTTACAGTCAAGGAAGAATATACAGTGGTGCCCCGCAAGACGAATGCCTCGCAAGACGAAAAACTCGCTAGACGAAAGGGTTTTCCGTTTTTTGAGTCGTTCCGCAAGACGAATTTTCCTATGGGCTTGCTTCGCAAGACGAAATGTCTTGCGAGTTCTTGCGAGTTTGTTTCCTTTTTCTTAAAGCCGCTAAGCCGCTAAGCCGTTAATAGCCGCTAAGCCGCTAATAGCCGTGCTTCACAAGACGAAAAAACCGCAAGACGAAGAGACTCGCGGAACGGATTAATTTCGTCTTGCAAGGCACCACTGTAGAGCAGGTTGGTTTAACCCTAAGTAAACCTCTCCCCTTCGGTGAAGCAACTTTTGTGGTCCTACTCACAACCATCCAAATTTATGTGGCTTTTCCTGACAGGAAGCTTAAATACAGCTACCAGTTTTGGAGACAAAATGAACCAGCATGTCAGAGTGTATTTTTTTTTTATTTAAAAAAAAACTACTAAGCTAGGGTTTGTTGATAGGCAGTTTGAACGAATATGAAATACATTCCACTTCTTATTCACAGTCTGGGGGTCAGTGCCCTGTTCTGATGGCCATTTCCCCCCTTGTGCCCATGACAGCTCCTTGCTCATAATAAGTCAACTGTCATATTTCCCTCAAGCGGACTTGGGGATTTTGCACACCTCTGACAAAGCTACACAGCTCAGACTGAGTAGAGGTGGCCTGCATGCAGTTAACAAGCCTCATGCTGACTCATTTATAACAAAGTGGTCATCATAGGCACAAGAAAAGCGTCAGCCATCAGGTCCTATTTAGTGACTGGTTCATATGAATTTTGTTCACATTTTGGGCATACATCCCACCTTCATTTTCTATTGCACTCCTGTAATTTTCAAAATGTTACATGCACTTTTAATAATTATCTTTCAATTGCTTTGGAAAGAATAATCATATTCTAAAGGAGGACCGGATTATGACCCTTTGTCAGTTCTAAAGAAAGCAGGTGTTCCAAACAGGCCAATTTCCCCACTATTCTGTTGCAATGGTTGGGGGGAAATGCCCTTGCAGAATGTTTTCTATTTTAGAGCTCTTAAAGGGACATAAGGGCTTTCTCCTTCTTAGAAGTTGATGCCCGTGCTACTTAATTTTTTAAAAGTCTTTTACAATGGGAATAAATATAGCCTGCTGTTCTTTTTTTTACCAGAAATACTAGACTATTCCATTACAGTACACTTCAACCACACTATCATAAACAGGTAAATAGCTCCCCCCCATATAAATAGATTAGATAGATAGATAGATAGATAGAGATAGATAGATGATATAGATAGATAGATAGATAGATAGATAGATATAGATAGATAGATATAGATGATAGATAGATAGATGATAGATAGATAGATAGATAGATAGATGATAGATAGATAGATAGATAGATAGATAGATAGATAGATAGATGATAGATAGATAGATGATAGATATATTAAGCTCATCCACCCAGTCTTTTTGATTTCGCCCCCCTTTAATTATACATATAATGTCATATATATATATATATATATATATATATATGCAGTCCTGATTTCCTTAAGTAACCAGCACATGAGCAGGGACTAGAACCATGCATATAACTGTAACAAAAATACTTAGCAGTCCATGAAATTATGCTGCAGAAGTCTAGTCCCGCATGGGACTTGAGTCCTTGAATGCATGATGGACATACATTTTTGCAAATAATTTTGCTTTAAGAAAAAGCACAAGCAGCCTGGATGCTCAATGGAAGAGACAATCCAATATGGGCAAAGCTCGATCGGAACAGAACAGTCAAATTCTGCGTATAAATCCATTTAAAACGAAGTCATCCTCTGTCCTTAATCCTAAGATTTAAATAGCTCCTCCCTAAAAATTTGGGTGGTTTTACAGTTCTTTCTACTGGGCCCATGCATGAATATTTATGCTGATAACTACTAACAGAAGTTAAGCGTTTGGTTTGTGAGATCATGAAAGTCAGCAATCAAATGAATATGACTCAAGGGATTACTATATCCTACAGTGTATAGTGAGGCAAGACTTTAATCTTCAAGTTGTTCTAGCTAAGGCTCCCGAGTTCATAAGCAGCTATGCTTCTGATGCTTCCCCACACCAAGGCCTCTCCAGGCAGCTGAGGGATGCAGCCAACCCTAAGCAGACCTAAAGTTCATCGCAAGCGCATGAACTTGTTCTTAAGCAGCCATTTACCTTCTGCCAAGGTTGTTGCAACTTTGCATTGGCATGACTGCGTCTGCTTCTGGATCACACCCACAACTCTAGGATCCTTTACCCTTTTGGGATTTGGGGCTCTTTCAATGTTATTTTGGTGATAACTGGCCACCTACAGTTGGTTACAACAATTTAGAGGTCAGGGTTTCCAAATACTAACCTTGAGACTCTGTGTCCACCATTGGATCTCTGTATTTGCAGTTCACTACCCCACACACTAACCTTGTAGCTGTGTTCCTATACGTGTGCACATACTATGCTGTCATAGTTTATGCATTTTTTTAACCATATGGGTAGAAAGAATAAGTGAGTACCATTTATCTGCTGCAAGCCAACTGCTTGTTCTGGACATGCAGGCTCCAACACACAGCTGGAACTCCCTCACCTGCATAATAAACCCCACTGTCATGCAGAGGGGCTGTGCAAAAGGGTATTCTTTGGAGCAGAATATCCAGACTGACTATGCTGCAAAATGTTTCAGTTCACTTGGGTGCTATCTCTTGAATTTACACTTTTAAGATGCCTTGTATAGATCTATGAAAATAGAAGTGGAAAGCCTAGTTCTCTTGAAAATGTACATAACAAAGTATGCTTTATATTGATGTTGCTTAATGTGCTAATTTTCAAATCCAAGCATCTCTGTTTATTCCATGTACGGCTGCTATGTAAGGCAGTTAATGTCATTCTAAAGCACACCAGGGCCGGTTAAATCAGAATGCTCAGGAATAAAATCTTACTGTGGTGTCCTAGGCATTACTCAGCCTTACATTTTACAACTCGCGTGGCAACAAGGAATGTCATGCAAGCCAAGGGCCCAGAATTCTGTGTAGGAGGTGGTAGATCTTGCCATTCCTCCTCAGCAATCTGCTTGGTTTTAAGAGGGTTGTATGTCTCCATCACCAGCATGGAAACATAGTGGAATAGCCTCTTGCCAGAGTTGTAAAAAATAAAATAAAATAAATATTGGCTACTAAACTTTGTAGGCTTATTCGCAAGGCTGATGCTACTGATAAGAGGAAAACCATTAACATATTTTTAACAAAAGCTTTAAAACATACTACCTAACTACTACTAATGGTTCAAAATGCCCATTTGTGCTCTTATAAGAACAGCCAGGGTTTTGTTTTTTTTTAATTATTATTACTGCCCTTTGGCCTGAACAGTAGTAACAATGCCTGTGTAAAAGAGACAAGTTTGTTTATAAAGGCCTGAAAATTTCTTCTAAAATAAAGTGTATTTTTGTAACACAGATTTGACATTAAAATAATTCTAAACATACATTTTCCACTGTATTTTTATTTTGCTGTTGAAAAATATCTCTTAGATAAGACGCCCAAGCAAGGGGTGGTGGTTGCTTATGCTAAAACATTGAGGAGTGGCTAGTGATGTAGCAGCTGTTTCTCATCTTCTACTCCTGATATTCAATAAAAGAAGGGGGGAGGACCATATCTGCTAGCTTGGCCCCCAATTTGCATGCACACCCAAAGAGTCAAACAAGTAGATATGGTTTTGGCAGAGAAAGGGAACCACTTTCAGCCCAAGGGCTGGATTTGAAATTGGGTAGCCTTCTGAGGGCTGCTTTAGGTCTAGAAGCAAAAAAGAAGTGAGGCAGAAGCAACTTATTCATGCTGGCCACATGACCCGGGGGCGGGCGATGCAATATTTTTGTATACATTTTACATTTAAATCCCCCTTTAAAAGGTAAAGGTAAAGGACCCCTGACAGTTAAGTCCAGTCGCGAACGACTCTGGGGTTGTGGTGCTCATCTCGCTTTATAAGCCAAGGGAGCCGACGTTTGTCCGCAGTTTTTCCAGGTCATGTGGCCAGCATGACTAAGCCGCTTCTGGCCAACCAGAGCAGTGCACCGAAACGCCATTTACCTTCCCGCCAGAGCGGTACCTATTTATCTACTTGCACTTTTTGGTGTGCTTTCAAACTGCTAGGTTGGCAGGAGCTGGGACCGAACAATGGGAGCTCACCCCATCGCGGGGATTCAACCCGCCAAATTTAAATACATTATACACACACGTACACATAAGTTATGTAAGATTTTAAACATAATCCAAGGAAAGCCATGGAAAGTAGTGGATCAACATGACTGACAGGTGACCTCAAATGATATCACATGATTGACAAGTGGGTACAGTTCGCTAAAAATGGCCTTGTGGGCCAAATTATGTCTGCAGCCTAGAGGTTCCCTAGCTCTGGTGTAGAGTTGAAAATGTCTAAACTCTGTGATGGCACTTTCCACACAGCACTGATGTTCAATGAAGTAGCCTTCTTCCACACTGGTAAATTTATACAGTAACACCTTCACTCAGCTTAGAGTGGCTAATTTAAACAAATGAGAGATGTGATGTAATTTTTTGGTGCCTTGTTTTGTTTCCATTTTTATTCTCATTCTTGTTATGGCTAAGGGCCTCAAAAGTTGGAAGTGGTCCAGGCATCTCTGGGCCTTTGAGCTGCAACTGATAGTAGAGATCCTAAGCCTTGTTGTGGCATTGCTTTTTTGCATTTATATGGAAGCACTGGGAAGGGGGATGATCACTGCAGAGGGTTGGACCAGATGACCCTTTGGATTCCTTCCAACTCGACATGTCTATGTTTCTATTACTAAACTTGCTGCCGTACTTGTGAACAACACAAACATTCAACAAACACTATCCCTTCCATCAAGAAACCATAGAACTAACAGATGTATGACCCATATATATGTGTGTGTGTCTTTTCCCAACAACAGCCTTATGGTATTAAAGAAATATGTCCCAACACAAGAACAACAACAACAAGGTTTGTTGCTGATACAATTGCACATTGCCATGCTCATACATACCTGTTGAATTTGATGCA